AAACGGTCTGTAAATTTGATATTCAACAATACGTTTTATTTTATTAATGATATAGTATTCATCACGGTAACATTGACAAATATTAATCTATATAGCTCCAACCTTTATTTCTCCAACATTAACTATATTTTTATTACAGATATACTTCACAAAAATACAATTTTAATTATTTCTTATTTTTATAAGAGTAGTATGAGTAATAAAAATATCGTTTCACAAATATTCGATTCCGTATGTTCGTTAATGTAACATGAATAATTCTTCTTTTATTAAATAACTTTTTTGTCATCACAGTTTTTATCTTTTCTAATACACAACGCTTGAAATAAAACAATTTACATAGTTAATTAAAGAAAAAATGTCGCGCTTATTTATCTAAATATATGTATATAAGCATATTAAAATAATATATGTGTGTGTGTGTGTGTGTGTTGTGTGTGTGTGTGTGTGGGGGGGGGTGTAATGAACGCGTATTACATTTTTAAATAAATTACTCTTATTTGTACGGAAATAATTTAACAATGCGTAAACTTTTGCTACTTATACTTCTCTTTGTTTTCTGGCATAAAAGTTATAATCTGTAACTTCACATCTTTGTACAAAAATAAATAATAGCATTTCAGCAAGTTGAAGACAAAATATGTACTTATACACATTTTGATCTTATATCATGCAAATCTGTCTAAATTGTAAGTTTCTCTTAGATTAACATTTTTTCTTAATAGCAAATGCGTTGGCTTCGCGTATAAATAGATCGAATAAGGAATCAGAGAGCAAACTAGACTGGAAAAAATATGTTAAGCATATGAGAGAGTACATATGCGCGCTATTATCGGTTATTACATCGATTATTACATTGGTGTTCTATATAATCGTCGATATTACATGTTGTCTTCTATTATTGAAACTGAATCATATGTTATATACTGTCGCTACTTAGTCGTGCAGAAAAGACGTAGTATATATTGTTGATGGTTCATCAAAATTATTCAATATTTATGGCCATAAGATATAATATGTGTATAATATCAAAATAATTCGTTTCAAAAAAGTAATGTGTTTATACTTCAAACATTTTCGGCACTTTACTATTATATAATTTATTTATACATCTTGTAATATTTGTACGAATTAAATAGAAATTAGAATATCATAATAAATTTTGCATATGAAGCTAATTTTGTAACTACTTTACATTTGCACATAAAAAAAATCACAAAAGATAGTCGAAAAGGAAGAAGTCTTATAACAGTAGATATACAACAGAAATTATATAGCACATAATAAAACAAATATGTTACTGGAAGAACTTAATCCTAAAATGTGAACTCTTATTACTACATTATTAAATGTATTAACGAAACAAAATACGCAAAATTGAACTTTTAAATTCGTATTTTTTGCTGTTGCATAATATGTATAACCAAGATTGCTCTAAATTAATTAATAAAATTAATGGCACTTGCATTGTAAAGCTCACATAATACAATGTATGTTTCTTAACGGTATAAACGTAGATTTTGAACGATTCTAATATCAAAAGTTGTATAATATTCTATAATGCAATCAAGAAGAACCGAATTAGTATTTAAAGCACTTTTGGTATTAGTATCGTGTCATTGATTAATACATGCAGATCGAAGTGAAGAATCACCATTGAGCAGGAATAAATGAATAATTATACTTTGTTATATGTGTATGTGGGAAGACTGCAGCAAATAATGCACACAAGTATGCATGTGCTTACACAGCAGAAAAATATATGGAATACGACAAGATGTCGAAGAGCAGGCGCACACGAATTGCCAAACGGGCAATGTTTTTTATGGATCAATAAGGACTCGGCTGTTATGATTATCAAGTCTTTAGTTTTACCGTTAACGAAGTAGCTTTGGTTTCCTCTTTGGCAAAGGTTACCATGATGTTTGCAATATTTAGTAACTAGGTATTTTTCTCTGTGGTGTAGGAAAGCGATCGACAACAAAGGTCAGAGTTATGAAACGCTGTTGGAGAATAGTACTGGCTTCAACAATCCAAACAACATAAAATATCTGTGCGACTTAATCGGTCTCGGACAAGGAAATCACTCCAATATGGTTGGATTGAGGTAAACACATAGCCAAAAATTTATATATTTAAATAAATACACACACACACACACACACATCTATATATGTATGTATACAAAATATATTAAGAAAGGTATAAGTGATTAAATTTTCTTGAAGAAAACATCAAATTCTTTAAATTACAAAATTGGAATATTTTATGTTAAACAAATCATTAATTATAAAGTTTTGACTGTTTAAGAAATACTGCTGTTTAAAAGAAGAATAAAGTTATCTATTATCATTTATCACATCCAAAAGAATAATTTGCAAATTTACTTGTAAAATCAACCACGAGAAATAATTATAATTACAATTACTACGAACTTAATTATCAAATCCCAATTTTGATCTCAAATCCTGCAATAATTATTTTATATGTACTTTTTTTAAGATATTTTATATATACAAATACACACATAATGTCTCTTCAAAACTTTGTACATTACACATTACATATTAATGATTCTCTCTCTCTCTCTCTCTCTCTCTCTC